TTAACTGGACACTTCGGCTCTCTTCCATTTTCTTAGAGGAAGGCAGGTAGGAATAAAGACGTAGCGGGAGGGTGAACATCTTACAAATGTTTGCTAAACCGAAGATACATTTGGCCAAGTTACTGCCAAATTGAGAAGGTTTTTGATGTCACCCTTAGGCAGCTAACTAGGCAGAACAGATGTGAAAACAGCTTAGGCAGAATCTCAGCTTCAAACTGAAGAAGCCATAGGAATGTGCCAGCCTCCACTAGGTCACAGTCTGCTTTTCCAGGATAAGCAAAATTGAGGACTGACAAGAATTATAATTTCTTGGATTTTATTTGCTCTTATGTGAAACACATGCACTGGTTAAGTATTGACTGCATAGTCAATAGTTAGCTTCAAATGAAGTAGAAAATGTGCACTTCTAGTTACATACAGAATATTGAAATTTTATGCAGTACATAGGTAATAAACCATTTAACAAGCAGAAGAAAATATGTACAATAGACATGGCTTTCTCAATGGATTTTTTTATTCTTTTGTATGTCTAATCCAATACAAAATAAAGCATCAGTCATCCAGTAGTCTCTGGGAGGAGAAGATCATGTGCGGAATGGTCAAACTCTATAGAAGCAGCTTAAGAGATGGACTTTGAATTTTTGGCAATGGAGGTGTGTAGCTGTAGATTGGAAGCAAACTGTTTCTGCCAACATTAGTGAATAGTGCTGAAAGCTCATGCAAAACAGGAGAAGCTAGACCCTTGACATTTTTCTCACAACTGTTGCTTTTTAAATCACTGCCTTTGCATGCAAAAGTTTGTTGGATTCATCCATTATGCATGTCCTAGGAATTTGATAGAGGTCTCATATGTTCCTTCTAAGAGGCCAAAGCCAGCTGCAGTACCCAGTTCTAAAGATGTGGTTACTGGCTTGAAATGTCATTAAGAGTATTATTTGGTATTCCTCTGACTTGAATCTTTTGGATGGGAACTTAAAAATGCTAGTCTTCTCTGATTTTAGTGAACTTTAGAGACAGCACACAATTATCCATAAATAAAGTTTCAAGGGGTTGTTACTGGGTTCTCTAGTAGAGATTTCATCTTTCTAGTGATAACATAATGGGTTATAGAAGACATTGCACAGAAGTAGGCATAGATCTTGGTGCCTGTCTTTTTGAGAAGTGTTTTAGGAATATGACTTACTTCAACTAGCTGGTTCATGTACCTACCAGATCACACATTTTTTGTTATTTCTAAAAGAAGGGTGAACAATATCAGTGGCTTCGTTTTAATCACATTTGGTGAAAAGCCATTTACTGTGCCACTTCCATATACTACCAGACTAGGTTAGGTGTTCATTAAAAACTAATGAGAAGGTGCCATCACCAATAGTCTTTCTTCCAGCATCTGGATTTCCTAGTTCTCCCTTCAAGTTTGGTGTGAATAAGCCAGCTGAAAGTAGGATGACATCTGAAATATGTATGATCAAGCCAACTTCTGGTATTAAATATTGTCATTATCACTACCTAGTTCTGTGTGATTTCATTGACAAGATACACAAATGTTTGTAGAGATACGCTCTGTTGTGTGTGAAACAAACATGGAATACAGATGTTACTGATGAAGTTTTATTATTGATTTTTGTTCACACAAAGAGTGTACAAAATAGAGTCAGATTAAAAAAAGGAGACCTTGCCCTGGTTCATATTTTTCTTTCTTTATGAGAGATTTAATTGGAAATCTAACAGGAAATTAGACTGGAAGATTACCAACTGCGTGACTGGCATGCCATGAAAAATCAGGTGGATGTGTCTTTCATATTGCACCCAAAGCAGCTTTATCAAGTATCTGGGAATTCTTGTGGATCTAAGTATATCAAATATGATGTTAGCAGCTTCAGTAACAAAAATATTCTAAGGTACCTGGGGTAGAAAAGCTATACAAGTTCTCATATAGTGTTTGGAAGTTGAGAATGAAGAACCATTTGCATCATCATCTTAAAGTGAAAATGGAAAAAAAAGTTACAGAAGCTAAACCATCTGTACACAGCCCTGTTGATTGTTCATTTCCTAAGGATCTTTCCAAAGAAGCATTTAGGAGGATTGCTTTTTCAGGTCTAGCCTCTAGACTATTTCATCATGTCAGCTAACTGTTCCACAGGAGTATAAATTAATGGCAATGTACCTCTTACAAAAGTCCCTTTTGGATTTTGCCAGTTTATCTTACCTGGTACACACTGTGTGTCCAGGGAAAATTACTCAGAAGTATCTACTTGACTGACATTTGTTCATACAAAAGGGATCAGCATTCAGCCTGTAAAACCAGAGAGGGAGAGAAAGAGGACTGCTCAAGTCTTTCTGCCTGTCCTGCTTAGGTGGGAAACTTAGTTACCCTGGGGCTAAAGTCACACGGAGCTAGTTTCACTGGGTTGAGGACTGTGCTTGCCCAAGATTTGTGGAGGGATCATAGTGCCATGCCTCTTGACGGAATGTGATTTATTAAAACCACGTTAATCCCAGGGACCTTGTCAGAAGTCATCCTGAATTGGTATTCATCAGAATACCATCCTCCACAGACTCTGGTATTCAGTAGTTGTCCAAATCAGGAAGGAAGCACTTGTGCTCGTGCAACCGTGCTGGAAATATATGCAGCTCTTTACATGTGATGGGAAGCTTTTAAACCAAACCACCCAGAACTGGTTAGCGGTTTCTCATTAAATTGAAGCTGCCAGAAATATTTCACTGTTGACAAAAGAAAAGGGGGCAAAGGCCATGATCAAGGAACCCTCTATATGGCATAATCTCAGGCTATTTTCCTGTTACTGGCAATAGCAACAGGGAGATTCAGCATCTTCAGGAAGATTAAATGAAAAGACTATAGCGCTGTATACACCTTAATATCAAATACAACATCATCACAAGCATCATCACAAAAGACAGCTAAGTTTGATTATTCATTTCAGAGGTCACAGTCTTTTCCATAAGTTGTTTGACTACAGTTTTAGTCACCCACTAGTGTATTTGGCATCTGCAGATTAAATATAATTTGAATTCTTATCAATGCAATAGATGGAATTATCTATACCCTAGAAAAGATTGTATATAGCATTTGCAGATATTCAGTATCTAATATTTTCAGGAAGGGACAAACTAGAGCAAAACAGATCAAAACTTTGGAACCTCAGATGTTCAGGTCAGAGCACATTGCAAGAGAGAGATCTGGCAGATTCCAGGGATGGCGAAGTTGGTATTTTCTACAGCTTTTTGCTATGTTGATGGTGCAGCTTTAGTTTCAAAAATTAAGCACAACTTAAAGAAAGAGTGGAAAAGAACAGTAGGAAAAAATGCTTATTTCTGCTATGGGGATGTGTTTTTTCTTTTGAAGTCAATGGGAGTTGCTTGCTTATATGGTCTTTAGAAGAAAAAAAATCAAAAGATGGCAATAAAAAGGCTATGCTTACCTTTGAAATGGAAGGATTTCACCACGATTACCTGATGATACTCTGTCTGGTCATTTAGAAAAAAACGGTATTAGAACTGCTGTATAAGTGGATAGACTGAGGTTTGGAAGGTGGGTTGGAGAGATGTTCCTGGTTGGCCTCATTGCCATGGCCCTGTCAGCACGCATCAGCTGTAACCCATAGGAACTAAATACTTGTGAAAACAAGTCATATTTCATCCTTCATGCTTTTTGAATCTAATCTTGTCTTAACAGTTTTCTGAGTGTATCAGATGATTGATGCTGTCACACTGCAGATAAAATTTGTCATTCTGTCATTTTTATTTAATATTTTAGAGGCATTTTGGTGCAAGCTGGAATCTGAAGCAATGATATTACACATTTTTTCTATGGTTCAGTCTAGTTACAAAAATAATCCATCTAATTCTCAGTGATTCATTAGCAGATATTTCCTAAATATGGACCTAGAATGAATTAATAGGTTAGTTGAACCTGAATATGTCTTGAAATACATATGCTGTATTTCTTTTTAAACGTGCTACAAGGAGATATAAATTAATATAGGATCAGAACCTTGTGAAATACATGAAAGAACAGATATGTTTAGTCATGTGTGTATTTGGCCTAGTTTCATAATAAACATCATAGGATAGTATCAGCTATTCACAATAATTACGTGGGATGTAGTGAAAAGCTCATTACACTGAAAAAAGTTTGAGCTCCTGAAATTTCAGCATATAATAATGTCAGAGTTTTTACCTGTGCAGATGGCCTACAAGGACTATGCGTTGTTCAGTTCAGAGCTAAGGCCTCAAAGAGGCATTTAAATGATCTTCTATCATCCATGGTTATTAGCAGGTCATAAAATTACTCTTAAAAAGGAAAGAGACTGACTTCTGGTATAGTAGGAGTTCCGTTAGATGCTTTAGAAATAGGTATTTCTAAGTACGAAGTTGTCTATGTCACAAGTCACAAGTTACTGGCGCTGAGCCCAGAGAAATAAGGTCCAACTTGGGGTGACAACAGTGAGAGTGGAACTTGCTTGTTCCTTCAGAAACCGGCTGCAGAAGATGGGGTTTTGTACCTGTGCTGGCTTTGGCTGGCATAGAGTTAATTTTCTTCACCGTAGTCGGGATGGGGCTGTGTTTTGGATTTGTGCTGAAAACAGTGTTGATAACACAGGGATGGTTTCGTTACTGCTGAGCAGTGCTGACACAGAGCCAAGGCCTTTGCTGCTCCTCACACCACCCCACCAGCGAGGAGGCTGGGGGTGCACAAGGAGCTGGGAGGGGACACAGCCGGGACAGCTGACCCCAACTGACCAAAGGGATATTCCATACCATATGATGTCATGCTCAGCATGTAACTGAGGAAGCTAGCCAGGAGGCGCCATCGCTGCTTGGAAACAGACTGGGCATTGGGAGTTTTTTCACATGTGGTGACCAACAGGATTTGTGCATCACTTGTTATTTGTTTGTTTGTTTGTTTATAATTGTTATTATCTTCCTTTGTTACCCTATTAAACTGTCTTTATCTCTTATTATTTTCTCTTTCTGTGTTTCAACAGGCCTTGAATAGGGGCATCGCTGCTGTCAAGGAAGATGCTGTGGAAATGCTGGCCAGCTATGGGCTGGCATACTCTCTGATGAAATTCTTCACAGGGCCGATGAGTGACTTCAAAAATGTAGGTCTGGTGTTTGTGAACAGCAAGCGAGACAGGACCAAAGCAGTTTTGTGCATGGTTGTGGCTGGCGCTGTAGCTGCTGTATTTCATACCTTAATAGGTAAGGTCACTTCACGTCTAATTAATATGTCTTTTAATTTACTTACCTTGCCTGTTGTTCAAACTGATTAATCTGTAGGCTTAAGATTTCATTTGTAAGTGCAACAGGAGAGGCAAAAGAGATTAAATCTCTTGGGCTGGTATCATGCCTATCCACACAGTTTTTATTACTTTTTAGACAGGTTGTTAAATGGCAGATTCCACCCCCAGGGCTCCCCTGCCTGGCAGCTCAACATGCTGCTGATCTTTTTCAGCCAGGCGTGTGAGCAAAACTCTGGCGAGGCTGACAGGTTGCATGGAGCTGATAGCTCTGTCTTGCTACCAGTATCTGCCCCATGGGTTTAGTAGGGCTTCAAGGTGTGCTTGGTAGGGCTGTTTGTCAGAACGTTGTCAGTGTACTCCCTCTGTACCTATCCCTTTGCTACTAATCTCACAGTACAAAATTCTAAGCAAGTAGGTGCCAGCATCCTCATTAAAATAGCAGGCATTACTCTCTGCTAGACCTAGTCATCATCCAGTTCTGTTGAATAATTAGTCTGTAAGAGAAACAGTTACTAAGAGCACTTTATATGAAACTGAGACCAGCTCCCTGAGTGTACTCTGAAGCAAAGAAAATAGACAAACAGATATGAGCTGAACATAAAAAATAAGGCAGCCACAGGATTTATGAATTCCTGAGAGCCTGGAGAAATGTGATATCAACCCAAGCATCAGATGGTAACCACAGCAATAAAAAGCCATGTGACCTGGAAGATTTCAACTTCATCCTCTCCAAGAACTGCACCAGATTCCCTGCACCTTCTGGCTCATTCCACAGAGCTGAAGCCTCTGGACCTCAGCAATGAGGAACAGGAGACGCTGGAGAAAGACAGAGAGAGTGCATTGCATTCAACAGGTACAATCCTAAAAGCTGGGGCCAATAAAGGAATGGGAGGAGGGAGGTAATGCAACAGCCTGTGGAGGCACGTGTTGGTTGACAGGCAATTGGGTAGAGCTGGATGACTAGCAGTAGGGGGTCATTCCGTCACAGAAAGATGGGAAACGTGAATGTGATGGCAATATGCAGAATTGCCGTGAAATTGCGGAGAGGCCTGGAAGTGAGGCACCATTCATTATCAGGCTGTTAGTATCTCAAGAGCAGCACATGCTGCTGGTCAGCATGCAGTTCCTGCCTGAGTAGGTACAAGAGCCATCTGGTAAATACGAATGACCCCTGCTCTTATCCTTTAAGATGCTGCCAGCTATGTTCACCAGCTTTACATGCCTCCCAAGCACTCTAGTTTGTTTGATCATCATGTCTCTTATTCCACCACTGATACGGCAGCCCTATGCTGTTTACCTTTACTCCATGTTATGGTCATAATAAACGCTTACAGTAATGGCTCACTAGCCATGGCAGCTCTGTGCCAGGGATTAGCTGTTCCTGATTTTCTTAGCTGAAGCCATGCATTCAAGGTAATTTAATTTACCAGTATTAATTGGTCACTTCTTCAATATGTTTACAGTTGAGGCTGCTGTATTGAGTCAGTATTATAAACTGTGGGCCATTTGTATGTTTGGCTCTCATAATTCTTTGCTTGGAATGTTTCTTCAGCCCCCAGAGCTGCTCTTCTACTTGCTCACTTGTTTTTCTGCCAGTGCTGGTCAAAGTTTTTGGCTTTGCCAGCTGGATAAATAAATATTTTCTAGTCATCCAACATTTTATTTTAAACTATGATAGATTTTAAGAAAATTTGAAGTATAACTACCAATTTTCCAGGTGAAGGATGTAGCTGGATTTTACATATGGGACTTTTTATTGAAGGGAGATGTTTGGGGCAGCCATTTGAAAAACATGCCAGATAAGTTTCTTGCCTTTGCCTGGAAATAGAGCCCTACTGAGTTCAGAACCTCTGAAATGCCCTCTGCAGATATTGGGGGGAAAAAAAAGAAAAAAGAGGAAAAAGAAGGCTGTACTTACCATGCTTTAAAGTCCTGAATTAAAGGGCTTCACACAATCTTTCAGCTGCTTATGGTTGCAGACTGCAAAATATTTTTTAGTATTTTAACTTGCCTATGCCTGAAAATATGCAAAGGCCACAGCAGAGACTGGCAGAGTGCCCGAGAGAATGGAGTTAGTCAGATTCTAGCACCATTTGCCTGGGTGATGTTGCCAAGTTTTATGTTCCAAGTTTCCTTTGAACATCTTTCAAATCCTGATTATTCTTCTCTGACGCCCAGATGCACAACCTGCCTAGCAGGAGGAAGAGAAGGAGTCCAGTGACGGACAGGCAGCCTCCTAGGACCTGCAGCTACTCCCCAGCAGCTGCCAGCCTATCGCAGGCTATCTACGGGAGACACAAATACAGGTCACTGATGCTCGGCAGATGAAAGAGAGAAACAAACAGCGCTCAGGGGCCTGAATTTCTTCCACGTCATGTGTATGGGGCTAAGAAAGATGACATGACTGCCACGGACTGTTGAAGCCCGGGAAGGAACAGGGAACAGAAAGCCCAATGAAACAAGGAGGAGTACCGAAAGTCAGAAGGAAGAAAACAAGTGGTGGTAGAAACACAGCGACCACAATGAATCACCACATTTCCAACTGTGATAGAGACTGTTTGCAGTCTGCCCACACAGCTCTTCACAAACAGCAGCCTCTACTTATTTAAAATATCAAAACGGACCCGACTCATGCTTCATTGATTCAGTACCAGCTCCCCACTACTGCTCCCCCACAGGGGCTAACGCAATCCTCTGTGGGAGAGACTGGCTGAGCCAAACTACTCAAACTCACAGTTGCAAGCTCTGGGTCCCTAAGTCGTCACCCCACCACATTCCCGTGAACATCTGCAAAGTCTTCACCAACAGTTCTATCACTCCCCTGTACAGGTAGCTGTAAGAACCGAGAACCAAGGTGACTTGACCAAAGGGATTTGAAACCATATTCTCGTCCCACTCATAATTCTGCTGCAAACCTTGGTCAGTGTGGTATTCCTGCATTTGCCGTTTCAGTTGCAATCTGGAAATAGAAGATAGCATGCTGCCTTCCTTCCCTTGTGCTATTTTGGGGGCAGCTACTGCCACTGTTTTGGGTTTCCTGGTGGGAAGTTCGCTATGTAGCCAAGGTCTAAAGCATCTCATTATTTCAGAGATTGGCTTTTGGTGGGAATTTTGGGCTATAAGGGAAGGGGTTCGAGATGCTAAGCCTGTCTGTACATATTTTTGACATCTTACTAAATTGCCAGCTTGACAGAGGAGAGAATTCATTTATATAACATCATGGTACTTTAATGCATTTCATGGTGCTGCTGGTAAGCCCTCCATACTAACTGGATCCTTTTAACACCGGTGTCATGAAAGACACACACATTTTCTTTGGCAATAAGCCAGCATTGTTCAGCCCTTCACTAGTTTACCGAGAAACAGTGTACTGAGAAAGTTTATATCCTTTTGCATATTAATTTTACTGTCCACAGCTCTCTGAGGTTCTGGAAATGACAAGGCAGAAGTTACTTTGGGGAAAAATCCTCTTTGCTTAAGTAGACATCCTTAACTGGTGCCCACTACACCTGATTAAAAACTACTTGATGGATCATTTGTCATTACCAGGAAAAAAGGTTGGAGCTTTAGTAAGCAGGCAAAACTGTAGCAGATGGCATGGTCAAGACATGTGAGTGATTTCTTTTGTGCCAGTTTATTACTGACAGGCTGGTGGGCATGGGCCGCTCCCTGCCCAGATTGCACAGAGGAAGACTTCAGCAGTTGCTAGTAATTCCACTGATTCTTTTGAACTGCCAGCATGCATGGTCACTGCATGTACGTCAAAGATCTGCATAAGAAGCGAGACATAGGTATAATCCCACTGCTTACAGTGTAACACAGCTGGAATTTTCTAGAGACTGGGAGTTACAGAGTGGCTTAGGACAACCTGAGCTATTTTTTCCGGTCAGTCTTGTTCCGACGTGCCCAGTGTACTGGCTCGTACTGAACATTTTGCCCTGGAAAAAGGTGATAGCACAGGAACTCAAATCAAGGTATAACCCAGGCTTGCTTTTTTTTTTTTTCCCTAAAAGATGATAAAATGTTATTCATTAAAAATGTGTCTTCACAATCTTCAGATGGCCATTGCTAAAGCAGTAACATGCTTTCCCGTTGCCCCAACCCTTCTCCCACCACAGGGACAGTTTCTTATCAGCAAGGTATTCAGGGCAAGGGGAGAAGGAAGAAAGCCTATGAGCAAAGCATTTGTGGATTTTAGGTTAGTCATGATTGGGTTTTAGTTAAAATAGGCTAATTTTGAAACTTATGAGATGTTGACCTACCTGAAGGTGTTTCCACTGGTCATTGATAGATTTGGGAAAATCAACTAATGAAATTTTGGAACTAGAGTTGAGCACAAAAAAAAAGATGATTGCAGTAATCGTTCTGCATTGAGATGCTCTTAAGCTGTTTTTTTTTTTTTTTTTAAATTCATTTACTACTGTGAGCAAAAAAGTCACAAAGCCTAAAACACTGATCATCTGGGCATTTACAAGGGGGATACAGGCTTTTGCTTGTGCTTTAAGTCAGGCTAATCAAAGACGTAAAGAAATCTATGTACCTTGTGGCATCTCCAAATGAAGATTTGCAATTCAAGTGTGTGTTGGTTGGTGATCGGTGGGTTTTGGGTGTTTTTTTGCAAATTGACATTTTCCTTTCTGCCCAAATCACTTAGCTGAACAAGATTCTGACTAGCACCAGTTTTGGCCATGTGAGCCATCTTTCTGAGAAGCAGCAGAATAGATTTTTACTTCTCAGGTCTCCAAGTTCATTTTTAAATGTGATAGCAAAGTATGAAAATGGAGTGCATCTAAAAAGAACACATTTTAACCCAAAAACATTTTTGGATTTTTTTTTTCCTCCAATAAAGCTAATATTGGTAATGTAGCTCTGTGTCTGGAAGTAAATGGTATAACTTCCTAAGAAAGTTTCTTTTTGTTTACTTTATGATGTAAGTATAACACGCTGGGTAGTAGACAGCTCCAAAATGACTACAGTACAGCTATTTGTTTGAGACTGCTGGCATCATTAAGAGTGTGTTCAGTTGTTTCAAGAATGTATGAAGTTTATGTGATAGTAATCAGCTTGTTAGAGAAATCGGTGTAGGAAAGAGGAGATCCAATTAGGTACATGGTGTTTCAGTGTCATTTCTTAAGCTTCTGGGTCTTAAAACTCAACTGGAAAAGACAAAAGCAAGAATTCCTGCTTAAATGATGTAGCAAAACTAATCCATAGGCATATCAAATTAAATGAGGTAGTAGACGAGCGCAAACAAGCAGTTTGTCTTGGAATTGGACTTCTCTGTTTTGATTGAAATGATGCAAGGAATGGGAAGAGCCATCTGCTTTAGATTCATGTAATACTCTTCAGCTCTGTTATTAATTTTGTACCATGCTTCATAACACATTTGTGAGGTTGGCCAAGGTTAAGTTCTAGTTGCATCAGCAATTGCTTTATTCACAGCTCAGAGATACACGCCTGTATATTTGTCAGTAAATCTCAGCTTGCCGAATCCTTCTTTCTGAGGATGGAAATATTCATTGACATCAGCAAAAGTGATTCTGTGCTTTCACTGACATGGGGAAGAAAATAGCTCACTATTTTAAAACTATCTTTTAACTTTAACCATTATGATTTTAAAATCAAAATCACATTAAAAAGTGCAGTTCAAATTTTTTTTTGATAGGAGGGACAAAAAAGAATCTTACAGCTTACAAAGCACAGCACTGATATCCCTAGAAATCTTAAAAATGTGGTGCTGTGGGCTGCAGTGGTGTAAGTTGCTTGAGAGTGCCCTGCCAATAAACTACAACCCTGTGGTGAACTGCCTGTTCCTAGAAGTGAGAGCAGTTTGGCCTCCGATTCTGTAATTTTTCTGTGATAGTAAACTTAAAAAAACCCAAACAGACAAGAATTTAAACATCTCAGTGGCTTTGAGAGCCAAAAAGGTTACTTATTACTCACTTTCTAAACACTTTAAGAGTCTCCTTTAAAGCAGGAGCAGCCCAGCGGGTGAAGCGCACGGAGAGCACAGAGGGTGCCTTATGCGGCGTGCTGTCTTCCCAGCACTGCACTGCTGGTGGAGGCCCCTCCACAGGAACAGGTTCCTCAGCACCTGGGCTCTGATTCTGTCAGTCCTCATGTGGGGAATAAGGCTGGTGTGTTTCCTGCAGCAGTTTTTAAGTGTTTGTGCAGAAGAAGTGTAAAGGAAGTTCAGTGGGACCTAAGAGACAGCTCAATGAATCCGACCCTCCCAGGCAGCTTGCCTTCCAAACTTCTTCATTCAAATAAGTCGATTTTTCAATAAGTACATGGAGAAACATCCATGTACTGCCCTGCTGTAAAAGCAGCTGTCCACAAGGATTTATGACGTGAAAATCCATGCATAACAGAGAGTTTTCAAAGTACTGAGAAAAAATTGGTGTATGGATATTTGCACAAATAAAAAGGGGCTGTGCTTGATGTGTGACTGGACTGCAGCAAATACATAAACACTTAAACAACTAAATTGGCTTCCCTGGACTTGGGAGAGGTTGGAATCGTGTTTAAAGATTTTCCCTAATCCTATTCAAAAGAAAACAAAGCTGGGAGTGCCTCAGGATGGCTAAACAACTTGGAGATTAGTGGGTGAACTGAGAAACTGCGAGTCTAACACTCACAGTTCAGATGAAAGACATATAGATAAGGACCAGCATAGGGAAAGGGGGAGTTTTTAACATTTTAGCATGCGCAGTCCCAGTTGTCTGGAATGAGGCTCGTGCCTGTTCCCAGTGCCGTCACACCACCTTCTTTTTCACTACCTTGTTTACTCTGTCTTGTTCTAACTGAAAATATCTTTTCTGTCCTGTTAACCATTTTAACTGCTGTATGCCTAAGCCATCACAAAACAATGATGACTTAAACTCCTCTTCACTTACTACCAAACACTGTTTATGAGTTATGAGAGTTAGTTTTAGGCTAAAAAGATTAAATTGACCAACTAGTGTTAGCACTTGTCAATCCGATTATGTGACCTGCATGTCATTATGTGACATGAAATGGATGTTTCCTGAAAAACCCTATATGAAGGTCTGTACAATGATAATAGCGTTGTTGTAAATGGAAAATCAGATAGATGGTCATATTTGAAATAATTATCTTGGAAAAGCCACAAATGGAAGAGAATTGAGGTAAGATTCCCCAGGCACAAGTAATTCTGCCATTACTTGTGCTGGGAGATTGGCTTTGCAACCTAATCATTCTTTTAACAGCTATTGCAAGTGTACAGATGAAACTACGTAATAGTATGCGGGTCTGGAACTTAGTTTATAAAAGATGAAAAACTATTTGGACTGTTTAACTGTGCATATTATGTAAGTCCCCATAGCTCAGAGACTCCAGTCATAGCTAGCTCTTCGTTATTCCTGGTCATGGGGAGAACTCAGGGGTTATTAAAACATCTGGATAACATGGGTACTAACAGAGACAGACATAATCAGTTCTTCAGAGAGACATGTGGTGAGTCCCTGCGTTGGTGCTGTCTTCAACCCAACATCTTGGGAAGAGAGACCTGGCACAAGGCGTGTTGCCCAGCACTTAAAATTGTCACCTTGGGTTGAAACACGATGGCGAAATAACATACTGGTGATGGGAAGTCGGAACCCCCTGATTTCTAGCGGTGCCCTTTTCTGACTTGTGGCTCCAGAGATGCCAGCTCTAGATAAGGAAGGAAACTAAGGCTGGTCAAGGCTGCCCAGAGACTCTGCAGTGAACCACGCGGTGCCCTGACAGGTCCCAGCAGAGGTGATCATTAGGCAGAGTAAGGGAGAGACATAATGAGTGTGATTTCTTGCGTGCCTTCGCAATCCATAGTATCCTTTTACAGCTTTGGGCACGTTTACAGATAATGTCATGAGAACACAGTAACAATAGGTGGTTTCGGCGTTTATAAGGTACTACATCCCATGAAAGACAATGCCTGGTGAAACAGCTTTTCTAACAAAGAGCCTTGAGTTAATGAAAGAGCAGTAGATTTTCTGAAGTAGCAGTGTGTTCATTTAGCAAGCAGATGTGGCACTTACTATATCCATCTCCCAACCCAGTCATTTGTTATCACTCTTCTGCCAAAGGTTACTTCAAAAAGAACCATGAGAGCACTCCTTAGTCATAAACAGCAGCTGGTGAGGCTGTAATATCCTGAAGCCCCTGCAGCTGTTTGCTAAGTGGATGCACGTCTGAGCTCCCAGGCGTCAGTCTTTCAGGTACTTCTGAGTATCTCACCCAGAGTCCATATGTAACCTTTATTATTCATTCTATTCTTGTGTCTCTACAGCATATAGTGATTTGGGGTATTACATTATTAATAAGCTGCACCATGTGGATGAATCAGTGGGAAGTAAAACTCGGAGGGCCTTCCTTTATCTTGCTGCCTTCCCTTTTATGGATGCCATGGTGAGTGCCTGATTTAGAACTGAATTTTAATGAGTGGGTTTTTTTTGTTTTGGTTTTTTTTTTTTTTGTAACCTTAGTTTGCAAAGTCTGTTACCTGATGGGAAACTGGAGGTGTGCAGAAGGAAGGTGTGTCCTTTGCAAGCAGTACCTCTGGATATACCTGGATACATCATCTCCTGCTACCTGGAAAAAGCATCTAGGTGGACTTTGAACATCCAGAGATCATGACAAATGTAAAAAACCTCAGCTGCCTTGTTAGAGTTACTGTATGTGCATGCTGGAAAGCACTGGTCATCTTGTGATGAGCTGCACCGTTTGTCTGTGTCCTCTCATTCCAATTTGTAGTTACAGTTGGATTTGCCTTGCATTCCCAGATCACCTGCAGAGCTCACAAGGAATAAGCTCAATACTTTATCAAAGCAAATTTGTTGAAAAGGCATTTCTTACCGTCAATTTTTGCAAGCATAGCTAAGTCCAATATATCTCAAATGCATGGGCAAGAGAGCCACACATGGGGTTAGGCTGCTGCTCCTGAGATCACCAGGCTTACTGCTTGTGGCCTGCACAGCATAAAAATTTGGCAGCTCTCTCTAATTCCTCTACTTCTATGTGAAACTGGTAAAGGATAACCTTCTCATGGCATGCCTCCACCACTTTCTGTATGGCTTTGTCCACTTGAAACAGTAGCTGACAATAAAAAGAAGTTGGATCATTAAGTTTTCTTTTCCAGAGAGGACTCGGTATAACTCAGTGAGCCAATGGACATTACACTTCAGAGGTGTATCCAACTGGTGGATGACAAGAAATGTTTTTTCCCTCGGATTATTTAGTATGATAATCCATCCTGTACAGCATCTGTTTTATGAAGAAGGGGCAGTTTCTTATTAGATCTGCTCAGAATTTTCTGTACAGTCTTTAAAATTATTTCTATTCTCCCTTTCAGCCCTGGCAACAAGGAACTGAACGCAGTAGTGCTTTCCCTGCATTACTGCCTTAACAGGTTCACACCAGGTACTGCTGGTGGAAAAGAGCTTTATAAGTTGTTTGTGTACAATGTAACAACCAGAAAACAGCATTCCAGGACCTGAAATCATTCGCAAATATCATAATCACTTCCCTCCAAATTCTTCTCTGCCTTCTTTCAGGCATGGACCCATGCTGGGATTCTGCTGAAACACAAGTACAGTTTCCTAGTGGGATGTGCCTCCATCTCAGATGTCATAGCTCAGGTAATGACTCCTCTTAGCAGCCGCTGTTTCCATTGTGTGACGGACTGGATGCTTTCCTAAGCAGGGGCTCCTTTGCACAGAGACTGTCTTCGCTCTCTACCACGAATAACACACCAGAGGAAATAATCTTGTGTGTGCTGTTCTCCAGCTCTTTCCCCACCGTGTGGAGGCTGTTTGTTGACAGTTGTGGTTTAGGCTGGTCTCACTTGACTGGATCAAGTCAGCCCCAAAGCAATGTGAGGAGAAAGGAACCAGGATTGTTTGGGCTAGGGTCATGTCTTCCAGCACCTCCACAACCCTATTTCAGAATGGTTGAGAAACAAGCATTGTGTACACGTGTACATCTGGGAAAAAGAAAGGTCAGGCAAAGAGACTGATGGCTGCTACCAATCCTGAGGCTGGCGAAGTGCTTTGAAAGAGACCTTTCTCCACCCTCTGCATTCTCCCCCACACTTCACACAGTTGCCCTGAAACGTTGAGTGGGTCTTTTACACGGGGGAGTGAAGGCTTGATTCTCCAGTTCACCTGTCAGTTTTTCACATGCTGACTAATGCAGTGAAATGCAGTAGTGTAAGCCATCCTCCAAGTGCCAGTATGGCACTGTTCTTGGTACTGGTCCAAAAGGTGAAGGCTCAGAACTGCAGCAGAGGGGATCTCTGATGATAGCCCCCGGATGATGCAGAGACCAAATGTGGTTTGAACTTTCATTTGTGAGGGAGGGGTTAAATATCCTGTTGCTTTGTACTAGATGCACTTAAAAAAACAACATTCATGCATATTGCTGATGGCCAGTGTTGTAGCATTTGAGAAACAATATACAGCCCTCTTCTTAAAGCATATATAAAAATATTACGAAATGGAGAGTCCTAGCACCTGTAAAACAGTTGCTGTACTGCCTCATTACCAGCTGAGTGGTGTAATGACCGGGTAAGAAAGAGGATAATAACAGTACAACATCAAAGGAAATAAGAAGTCAACAGCACTTAGTTCAATTTTCCATAGCATTTTCTTCCCACTAAATTTGAGCAAACCATAAACCAGGTTGAACCATTCAGTCAGCTGCTATTCTATGTTTGGCAGGTCTGCCCCTCTCCAGTACTGCACTAAATCCCTGAAGATAATACCAATTACTGTAAATGACCTTGTCCCTCAGGATCTGCTCTTGTTCTGACATGACCTACAAAGTTTGCTGACCCTAGATGCATGTCGGGTCATATACAGCTAAATACAGAAACAAATTCTTATTTTGGCCATGGTACACATGCCCTTTCCACAATAGTTGGTGAGAGGGGTGCCAGGGTTGTGAAGAATAAGACACCTGTCATCTTCTCTCAACAAAATGCACTGAGCAAAGCCAAATCCAGAAGACAAAAAGTTGTGACTCTCCATACCCCAGAACTCCCTACACCTACATCTGCTGTCTACACAGCAAATGTGCAGGCAGTAGCTAATTCTCCTTGGGTAGCTTTATATACACACTTTTTGTGACTGACTTTGCTTCTATTTATTGAAAAACAATTCTTTTGTAGGGTTCAAAAGAGTAGTTTTGCAAACTTTGATAAACAGTGTGGTCTGCCTAATAAACATTTGCACAGTGTGATTTTTCTTAAGCCTTTCCTGAGCTCTAGCAATGAAGGAGACAACCTACCCCTGAACAATGTGTTTTGTATTTCTTGTAACTCACTCGAATGCCAGCATGTCCCAGCAGGGTTGTCCTTGATTCTGCTGTTCACAGCACCAAACACGGTTGGCTTTCCAGTTGTACCACCCCATCCAGAGACACTTGGAATTTAACAGGCACACCATCAGCTCTGTACTCTGCGAAGAGAATAATATCATATTAATCAATTCCTTTGCATTTTCTGGATTGAGCATTTAATCTTATGAGACTGAATGACGAGCTGTTCATTAGCTCAGAAGTTCCTATTTCAGTTACATCAATGTGACACTCAGCTGAAGAGAGAATGATGAAATACTGAAATTTCACTCAAAAAAGCAGAAAATTAGGACAACATAAGACTTCCTGCTTCTAAATATTGACGTGAATACTTTAAAAAAAAAAAAAAAAGGCTTAGAAGCTGACCCTAGAAGCATGTCTCCAGCCTCGGTGTATATCAGAATAGCACATTCTCCTAGGAAGGGTGACACTCAGCCACATGCTTGCTGCCAGACCTTGCCAGACTTTCATGCTAACCTTCTCCTATTTATGGCTTCTAGTCTGACAACCTGCCTATACCTTCAAGTACTGTTTAAGAGAGCTTCTGTGTGATGTTAACTGTTGTTCTTTTCATTTGCATGACCGAATGCAGGGGGGATCCTGACTAAAGTTTCAAATGCCACAAACTCAAAGTCAGATAGGTACTGCAGTCACACATGGTTGTTGGTTCAGATGGACTAGCCTGGAGTCAGACAGGAGATATGATAGCCCTAAATAAACACATAGACAAATTACTAACCATTTATTTGTTTGCCTTGCAGGTTGTTTTTGTAGCCATTTTGCTTCACAGTCACTTGGAGTGCAGGGAGCCTCTCTTGATCCCAATCTTGTCCTTATACATGGGAGCACTTGTCCGATGTACCACATTATGCCTCGGATACTACAGGAACATACATGATGTCATTCCTGACAGGAGTGGGCCTGAAATGGGGGTATGTCTTAATACATTGCGCTTTTTCAAATTCAGTAATTTCAAACTTGCTTTTTGTGTTACAATACTGTACTAAACCACTGTGCATGAAGGGCGTCCTCTCTCCATCCTGCAGGAAAAAATATTTTCACTTAAAGAAGCATTGTAGAAACTATTCCAGCAACAGTGCACATGAGGCAATGCTTCCCGTGGTGTGATGTGCTGTCTGCTGAGCACCTCTGTGCTGAGCTCTGTTCTGAGCTGTAAGACAGCCCAGCATGAACTAAGTGGACACCTTATTTCACAGAGAGGAAGGTCTCAAAATTCCTCTTTTTCCTCAAATGTCATATTGGTTTTCACATATCTTTGTCTGATAGCCACAACAAATTATGCAGATAGGTATCATCTTATGCATTATTTATTGAGATCCATGACACAGCTTCTTTTGAATCAGTATTACTAACATGAGTGAAAATATTTTAGGCTCCTCATATTGAAAACTATTGAAATGGATGTACCAAACTAACAATGGGTGGGAAAAGCAAAAATCCTTTGTGCATTTGGTTCAGTTCTGAATGTTTTTTTCCAAACCCACTTCTCTTTTTTATTTTTTCCTATGTGTTGCAGGGAGAGGCTACAATAAGGAAGATGCTGAGTTTCTGGTGGCCTTTGGCATTAATTTTGGCAACTCAGCGAATAAGTAGGCCCATTGTCAACCTCTTTGTCTCCCGGGACCTAGGTGGCAGTTCTACAGCCACAGAGGTAAGAAAGTCAGTGCTGCCCATTGCTGCAAATGACCATTTACATAGAGTTGCCTCTGTGTTTCTCTTCTCAGCTGTGCTGGCAAGAAAAAATTGGCCTAAGTACACTTCTGTTTAGCGCTGTCTTTATTCTTGAAAAGAGGACTGCTTGGACTCTTACCATGAGCATTTCTGCCAGGCCTAGTGGGACCTCACCCTCAACAAGACCAGTAGGAATTTTTCACTGAACAGTTCCAGCGTCCCAGGTTTTCATGCTCTACGTATAGGTACCTATGCTCTGGAGCACTCAGATCCCAGAGATTTTAGGACAATTGTCCTAAAACAGCCGTGTCCTGCTGTTTCCTGTCATCTATATTTATGGCTGTGAAAACTGATGTGAAACTGCTGTTAGCTGTCAGTGCATCACACAGAATAGGGTAGAGATGTAAGGCAGCACATCATTAAAAAAAAATCTGTCTCCTGGTTGGGATATGAAATGTACCCTGTTTCTCTTGAGGAATTTCAGATTACTCCAATAGTCTCCTGCAGCTGACAGGAGCCAGACTTATGGTTGTAATGCAGAGCCTTCACCAATGCTCACCGTGAGCTGACCTATTCTCTTAAGAAGTCTGAGGGACCTTTGCTGCCAGTTTCAGTGGGAGGACGTCTAGATCCATGTAGTCATTAGCAAATCTCTCCTGTTTTTTCTCTAAGAAAAACAGAGCTCTAAGATACTAAATGGAAAGGAAAATTCAAACAGCTGATGCCCAACAAACATTCTCTCAGCACTGCTTGTTTGTGATAGTGTGTAATTCATTCACACAGGAGTTGCCAGTGACTGCAAATAAACAGCTGTGGAGAGAGAATTTAGGAAGCATAACTTTTACATTACACTTTTACATCTGTAAATCAGGGATCAGCCTGTGCATTAATAGCAGTCTCAGTATAAGGGGAGCCAGAGCATGTTAGCAGGGATCAGTTTTGTATTTCTTGGTGACTTTTGATTTTAGATGCATCACATTTCATGGCTAGCCAACTGCATTTTGTGGCTAGTGGGATGACTCCAAATACATGTCATAGCAGGCTTTTTACACTAACAGTAACTGTCACATTTCAACTTTCTCTGATTTCTGAAATAATTGCCTCTGAAAAGGGAGGTGCTGGCCACAGGGATAGCATCATTGTCTGGAGCCTCAGTATACACGGGAGTTTTACAGGTCCGCTGTTCAATAATATCGGCAACTGTCAGTTGTAAGATTAGTAGGGAAGAATCTGTCCCCCTCTCTTCCTCTCTGTGGATATTACTACTTCCCCCCCTCCCTTTTAAACAGCACAGGGAACAAATTAGCTTGTTACATGGTCCTGTGTTTGTATAGATCTTTAACCAAGCAGGGACAGCAATTACATTTATAACAGGAAAATGGGGTCAGATATAACCAACAAAACATACATCAAAAGTTTAGGAGCAAAACAGAGACAGCAGTAGTTAAAAAAGGTTTTTCTTAACACTACCATTGCCAGATTTAAAATGAATCTGAATTTAGATGAATTGTAACAGATCTGAACCTGCAAACAAAAGGCAGTCAAACGCTTTGATTTCTGGAATTAAGAGAGGTGGGCTGCTTCTTCAGAAATTGAAAGCATCAGTAAAATCTTTCATACATGAGTGTGTTTTTGATGTACCACTTGGATTGTACTTGTGAAAGTGCAAAAGGGCCTAGTTTTAAATTGCAGGTGGTGAGTTTCTCATGATAAAAATGGTCACCTGGAATTATTTTTGTCTGGTTTTCATTGATTAACACTAAAGTGGGGAGAGCATTTGCTCATAAGTGCCTCCTGCCCCAGAACAGTCGGTTTGATGTCTGAAGTCAGTCGGCCACTGAGGTCTACTGTTTTCCAGTCGGTCTGTCTTACTTAAAACTGTTTTACTTACAAATAACCAAGTAAAACGTATATAGATTAAGATTCTGCTACTCGGATGTCTGTAGGTAAAATAAGTCAGGAGCAATGTGGGAGGGAGCTGAGGAGCACACACCAGCCCAAGTTAACTATTATCCCAAAGTATCAGAGTGATGGTGAGACAACAAAACTGAGTAATGTAGCTTCATGGCACAAAAGATTCCCTAAACTTAAAATACTGGGCTGAATGATGGCCACTCTGATGGTCTTCCTGAAACAAAGAGTTTCCAGTCGCCTGCCTGATATCTCATTGCGTGAAGGTCAATGTGGTGATGATATTGGTGGGAAATGGCACCCTACATTAGTTTGACTGTTCTGTTTGAAGATTTGAAGTTTGTGTTTCCCTGTTCCTTTTCATAGGCAGTGGCGATTCTGACAGCTACGTATCCTGTGGGACACATGCCGTATGGCTGGCTGACAGAGATCAGAGCGGTATACCCTGCTTTTGACAAGGTGAGTGCCCATGTTAGGGGTATAAGAAATACCTTTCGTGTCATTTCACATCTGTGGGCCTCCTCTTTCTCTCTATTACAGCATTTTAATTTAGGGATGGGTTCAGTGATGTCAGAGGAATTTCTGCCAAAAAAATAGGAAGAAAGTTAGTACATGGCTCCATAATCGAGTGTAACAGATTCTTCAAAAAGTAAACAACCAAAGATTAAATAGAGCTGTATTAATGGCCATTTATTGTTTTGCTTCTCTTTACATTTGCTTTTGATACCTATTGTTCCTTGTCCCACTGATAAGGTTTTCTTAAAATCCTAGTTAAAATGAATTGGGTTTTGATGGCTTCAAGCCATCATGTTGTTTAATTTATGATTTTAACCTTAGCTCTGTGTTACAAGGTACTAAGCTACCTTTTGAATAGATAGGTGCTGTATTTTTAAGGATTAAAACATGTCCTCGCTTATTAACTAACTATGATGTAGCTACTTAGCTAATAAAGTGATTTCTCACAAAGCATCCAGTGGTGAGTGAGCAAGCTCACGCCTTTTCTCCAGATTCTGCAGTATCTCTCAAATGGGTTTAAGTTCATTTGCTTATATTAGTATTTAGCAAAGGGTGTTTTATAGACTGATGGTAACACAGATAACATAGATTAATTTAGTAGCACTGACTTAGTTGACCAAGACTATGAAGATTTTTGTTGGCAAATCATGTAAGAATGCAAGGACTGCTCCTGGAACACAGCACAGTGTAAATATATAACCAAAATTAATTTTGTTCAGACTCTATTTCGCTCCGTTTTAGAACTGGTACTCACTAGCCCATCTGTTGTGCAAAGAACAGTCGTGTCCTGCAACACTCTAATTCAAATACCAGATCCCGTCCTTCCCTTTATTTATCAATTAGTAACTGAACTTTCTGGTTCCAAATATTGATGAAAACTTTCCTTGCTTGCTCGCTCAGGGACATATTTAACTGAAGCAAGGCCCATTTGATATGATCCGCCATATTTCCAAGGAGAATTTAAAAACAAAATAAAGAAAAGGCAAATCAGTCCTAACTTCTTAACCTGCCTGTGTACAGCTAAGTTGACCTGTCAGATAAAATACAACATGCAGACTTTCTCAGAGGTCATGCTGCTGAAAAGGAACTGCAGATGCAAAACCAATAAACTGCAAGATAAAAATGGTTTGGGACAGGAAACACAGGGGCTGCTAACTTCATCTGTTTTGAGCGACAATCAAATGCGTTATTGCCAAGCAAAATTAACAGCAATTAAGACCCTAAATCCAGGCTTCATTTAGCTGGTGGAAGATTTGCTGACAGCTTTAGTGGTGGCAGGATTAGACCATGATTTGTCTGTTTGTTTATTTCAGTTAAAAAGCTTATTATAGAGCTCTTGCAGAACAAATGTGAGGAAGAAAAGCTGTGGTAAGGCACAAATAGGTACAATTTATCTAGTTGCCGAAAAAGTATATAATAGGGATTTTAGTTGCACATTTTAAAAAAATGTGCTAAGTGAGGTAGCAGCGGTATAAAGTGTATCTCATCTGGGCAGCCATGTGTGCAAATGCCTCCACCATTTCTTTCAGACACTAACTACCAAACCAGAAACCCACAGTGGGTTTTTTCAGATCGCTGTGAGAATTGCTTTACCCTTGGTCACACATCATTCACGTGTCACCATGCCTTTGAAAAGCTTTGTTTCCTTAAGCTAAGGTGTTCTCTGAAGAGTCCAAACAGAACCACTTTTTATTTCCAATTCTGTAAAGCCTCCATTGTGATTTTCAGATGCTGAAACAGTTTCCATGCATCCAAACTCCATTTTCTTTTGTCAGTTACTCAGAAAGCTGGTGATGCTGATGGCCATCAGAAGCACGCTACGTTGCCTTAGCTGGCTGACGGGATTTGGGATCCAGAAAGTATGGCCCTCTTCAGTGGCTCTACCAGACAAGTTAGATTATTGTCTTCTTGTCTTCACAGGGAAATAGTTATCTCTGTTCATATTTGCAGGAGGGATGCGGAGTCCTGCTTCAGACTTTTATATGACTCCATGTCCAGAGCAACCTCATGGCCTAGCAGTTAGACTCAGGTTAAGGGTTACTACTGATTTGCTGAAAGAAAACAGGCATATCCTAGTTCTGTGCTCTGTTTGCTGTTTTATACCATGATAATGCTGTTATTCTTAGTGGACTGTGCTGTCTGATTCAGAGCAATGACACAGACTGTGAGAGCACTCGTGAGCGCTATTTATCTGATGAATAAATGGGAATAGATACTCTTTTTGCTCCATAACCTGCATAGTGATTTGATCGAAGAACTAAACAGTGTGCAAGAGATAGGAATAAAGAGTACGTGGTCAAGAGTTAAAGGGCAGAGTAGAGCAAGAGCAGAGTTAGCAGCAGCAAGGTAGGAAAGAACAAGAGCCCTTCTTCTTTGCAGCCCTTTTGGATGGCTGGTTTTGGGTGTGCTTTCCTTCCTCGCTGTTATTTAGCCTTGGTAGAAAGTTGAGCCATGCAACAGAGTTCGTTTAAACACTGATGAGCGATATAAGCAAGGCCTATCCTCACATGTGTAAAAACTAACGGTAACAAAGTATTTCTTCAGAAACACAAGACATAAGAATAGATGTGTAAAAAAGTGTTTGCAGAGAGTTTTCATAACCTGTTCCCAAAAAGGGCAGATATAGGAGTAGCTTCCTGCTTTAGAGTCTGGGTTGCCTACATGCATCTTCATGCACCCAAACTTCCAAGCAGATATTTCGGCAGGAGTGTGGGGGTGTCCAGGTGCCATCGCTGCACTGATCACCACAAAAAGCTTTAAATTGCAAAATTCCATCAACTACTTAAATGTGTGTGAAATGATGTTCCCTTCACAGAGCTCACTTTCCCTTTGTCCACTCCCAATATGTGTTTGCATATGTTCCTGTTTCTCTTATGAGTAACTTCAATAAAGGAGGCTGACCGTGTGGCAGACGCTGCTGTTCTACCCAAGTTACATCAAGGATGAGTAAAAGTTGTACATCTCATGGTACAGGTTTTATCAGCGTGGGCACATACTTGTGTATCTCAAACAGCCCCAGGGTAAATGCAGTAGATGACCCAATAGCCTCTTGCTACAGGGCTCCTAATGGTGCCCTGCTTTTGATATCCCATCCTCTCCTTTCACAGACCATTTAGTTTGTTTTTATGTGTTCCCTGAGGGCAATTTAAATATTCAGCTTCATTTGCTATATTAGACATTTGGAAGAGGGTTTTTGTTGTTGCTTTAAATAAAACTTTGTAGCCATGTGAGTACAGAGCCCATGTTCAAGGTGGAACATCTAATAGTCCTAATGATGTTCTGTTCATTAAACTGCATTAACGGAGCCAGCTGTTCCAGGAGCTTTGTTTATATTACCTACTTGTCTAATTGGATCAGCAAAGGTGCTTGCGCTGGCATATGGATTCAGTACCACTCTGTGGTAAAAAGGAATGAAATCCTAATTTTCCTGTGAAAACATGCTACAAACTTTAAGGTAAAAAAAATCACGTGGAGTTTCCTTAGAAAGAGGTACCACCCTTTTTCAGAGCAGAATTTGTTAAATGGGACTTATTCCTTAGAAAAGTAGTGAGATTACTCAGCCCTCTGTGAACATACGAGCAGCTGCTGTCAGTTTAAGCGGAAAATACTCTGTGGTGGTACACAGTGCTCAGAAAGCTCCAGGTTAAAAAGCAATCAAGCAAAGACAGACATGCACGTACCCAGACAGTCAGGTCCAACACATGACCCTGGTGCTGTCAGCCTCCTGCTAGGCTGGAGCCAAGCTAATGCTCGTTATCTCTTTCTCTCACCCTAGAATAACCCCAGCAATAAACTGGTGAACACCAACAGCACCGTCACAGCAACACATATCAAGAAGTTCACTTTTGTTTGCATGGCATTGTCCTTAACGGTAAGAAACCTTTGTTCAACTCTCTGGCTTTCATCTCAACCAGAAAATTGTCTCCTCCACCTAATGCTAAAAGCACTAGCAGTTCAAGAAAGGTGAGTTGACTTTTCTTACAAAGCTCTGTTGCTTTTATCTGGAGGAGAGAGTGTGATCATAGTACAGGAGTACTAAGAAAATAGGCTGTTGTTAACTCAGGCTAGATATCTTAATGGGCTAGAGTTATTTTATTTAATTCTTCTCACTACTTTTCAAGTCAGCCTCCACATGTAAGGAGATATCAGAGATCTCCTTTTCTTTTTTCTCTTTTTTTTAATGAATAAAACTTCTCGTAACTGGCACGTCAGGAAAATGAGAAACCACATGTATTTCATGTGCAGTGGGATGGCAGCCCGCCCCTGTGTGTCCTTCATCTGCCGTGAACGGTGGGAAAGGCAGCGTGTGTCGAAATTGCACTAGCTGTTCCCTGCTGCCTCACATGGCACTGGTCTTCCATGCTGGGGGTACTTTCATGCATGTTGGTTTTGTTTACTCTCAAAATGAACTAAAAAGGACAATCTGGGAGATGGGGCTGACACTGACAAAAGGAACTTAAGCCTTGTCTGTGCTGGGGAGCATTGCGAAGGGCTGACATTCAGGGAGAAATTTTGCTGAGCCTGCAAAATGACCAGCTTGCACACAGACACACAGTGTGTCTTCCCCAAGAAAACTGTTCCTGCACGAGTCTTTTTAGCAACAGACAAGAAGTTGTGGAAGAAAACTCATGCAGGTGGTAGAGATCGTAGCAAATAACAGAGCAGATGACCAGGGTAAATGCAACTTCTGTTTCCACGTAGGTAGGATTTACATTAGTGCTTGAAGCTGGTCAAGCCACCCTCTTCCCTCTGGGGGTGGACTTGCACTAGCAACCATGAGCAGATTTGTGATCTGTGCACAGTTTCCTAAGGAGTTCTGGGCTGGTTCCCATCAGGGCACTGCCAGGCGCCAGGACCACCAGGGTCAGTCATGGCAGGGCCTGGCAGGCGGGAGCAGGGCCTGTCCCACCCCCAGCCAGGAGCAGGGAAGCCGGGGGGCACCAGGGCAACCTCAGCCCCAGGCATCGGGCACCTCCCTGGGGATGAGGATGGGCAAGGGCCAGGCTGGGCAGCGCAGGGCTTGGGGAGCTGGAGACCGGCCCTGCTGCAGCATCACTGGGGCAGGAGCTGGTGACCCCAGGGACTAACATGGGGTCCTGGGCCCTGGGCAGGGTCGGGGGAGCCCAGGGGGTGGGCAGGGACAACAGCTTCTCTCCTCGCTATCTTCACTAGCAGGACAAAAGCCAAGGAGAACCTAGAAAATAAGTTTCTCACAGAAGTCCTTCCTCATACTAGAAAAGTAAGTGGGAAATGCTGCAATTGTTTTAGGATACAATGCTCAGAGTCCTAAAATTGAATCTGTTCATACCAGGTTTTCTCTTTATCCTCAGTGTTGCGGACATTGCATGGGGTAGCTGGCTGCTTTGTAACTCTCTTCTCCCCATGTTCACAAATTCACTGTTGAGTAACAGAGGGCTGACATAATTTCTCTCTCCCCTTCATTTTAGTGTAGAGCCTTTTTGACTGAGATGCACATGGCCTATGCATGAAGGGAGGATAATTTACATCAAAGGAAACCTTACAGTACACAAGCCAGAAGTATTTGTAATCATCCCCACCCCTTTGTCACAACCTAGGAAACTGAGATATGGCGCGTTCTGTCTTTATTTCACATATGAAAATGAAGCGACTCCATCCATCCGTAGTTGAATTAGAAGATTTCTTCTGCTCTTTATTTCCCATACTTTTTTCCTAAACAGCTACAGGTGGCCACCATCAAAGACAGAATTGCATGAGTCAATGTGGCATCTCTTCTGGCTATTAATTTCCTAGAATTAAGCTTGAACGCTCTTTTCACGTGGCTTAGACACCAACAGCTCTGGCTCTAACTTGTATTTCCTGCAGCATGTAACAGAGACAGACATATGGCTCCACTGAATTGGCCATTGCCTGGAGACTTTCCATGGCTCTCATGTTATCTACCATCACACACCTTGAAGTTTTCTCTTGTGTCTTGTATGAGGCCAAGGTTATGTCCTCTACAACTGGAGCCTCCATTGAAGTCTGTTAGTGGTGTTACAGACCCGAAAAGGGGAAAGCTTTCCTCCTTATAAATTGTTCTGAGAATACTATTTCAATCTCAAAGCTTTCTCTGAACTGACTGTTTTCTTAACCCTTCCAGGCATTTATCAGCTTACTTGAGTTCTGATAGATCATGAGCTTCTTATATTATCGTCACCATCCTCTACAGAGTAATTTTTAATTACTGCAATAAGGCTTTTGTTTTGTAACTTTACAGGATTTTTTTTTTCTCAAAAGTTCTCCATAGTACTTTCAGGGGCAGTTCTTTCATAAGCTCATCATGAGAGATTTGTCTGCACTGAAATTCCAGAAACACTTTTGAGGTCCATAGCTTTTCCTGTGCTGTTTCTATTTTTGCCTACTAGTGACAGATTCTTAGGATTGCTTGTCAGTGGACAGAGTGGAAAAATAGACACATGAGCTCTAAAGACTCAGGTTGGTTTGAGGGCCTGAGCCTTCAAGTGCTTCAGCACACAAGCTCAGTAGTCGTTGGTATGTCTCAAGTTATTATGTGCCACGGGTTCTAAGGAACTGGACTTCAAATTTGCCTCTGTTGCAGGCAGGTCAGATGGTCACTGTAGCTGAGCTCCCATGGCCATTGGTGATTGCTCTGTTTTCCTGGAGGGTCTCTACTGCAACAAATGGCAGTCAGACTAGTGGCATCACTGTTGGTAACAGCGTTCTTACTCTTTGAAATCAGAGGGAAAGTGGGAAACAGGCTGCCAGGCTGGCCAACAAGTCAAATATTTAGACTTGTCATGTGAATCCATTCTCCAGTGGATGATCTATAGAAGGATTCCAGTAGATGGAAAGATAAAGGAAGTCCATTAACCATGGGAAAAAATAACAGTGAAACTTTTAGTATGAGCAGCAACAATGCAGGAAAGTACCCTCACAGTGTAAAACCCTGGGAAGCCTCCCAATCATTGAAGACATGCTGTTTCATAGAGTTGGAAGAAGAATGTCCTACCTCCTTGCACAGACCAGTTGTGCCTGCGCAGGAAGTACCGCAAACCTACTACAACAGCAGAAGCGCTTTTTCACCCTTGTGGACAGTTGCAGTGTTGCATTAGAGTAGAAAACAAGGCATAGTTCTGTAAAGAAACATAACTTTGGAAGTTTTCTTGAAATCTTCATGGGATCTGAAAGACTGCACTTGAACCTTCCCAGGCTGACTGGGCAGCATGCAAATGTGTTCTTCTGAGTGTGATCATAAGTACTGTCTCATGGCTTTGAAGCATCAGGCGGGTATTACAGCTGCTTCTTCACAAAATGAGAATTAGTTGTATTGCTGAGTGAAAAACATGTCGACAAGCTGTTTTATTTAAAGGCTGTAAGTAGAAGCCATTAGACTCTCAATATGTAAGAGAGCTGATGGGATTAGTCATACTTGTGTGGGTTTGGTTATAAGTAAGCAGTGACTCCTTCCAACAGCCCTGTTGTGTGGCTGTGTAACTGAATGTGAAATTTATATAGGAGAGTGGAGGGACTCAGCTGAAGAATTTTGCCCATACAATTAAGGGACTGGTTCTGATTTTAGAAAATAACGCATGCTTGGTAATTTACTCTCAGCTTAAAGAGTGTGCATAACACTGCTTGCCGTTATTTGATACTTCATTGCCATTAGGCACTTTGGGGAAAAAATGCTTCTTTCTATGCATAAGTAGAGATACTGCTCCAAATGCCAGTCTTGCTGCCATTGCCAGATAAAAATGTTGAATAACTAAACATTTTGCTTCAATGCTAGACCTGTTTAGATGACACTACAATTCATCCCTGAGATCATTGCACAGTTGTAAACTAAGTGAAGACAGAATCCCAAGAAAGAAAACTGGTACATTTGTAGCACACATCCCTTTGGTTGTGGGATGCGTCAGCCTTGGTACAGTGTAGAAATCCCAAAATAATTTGTCTGGGTGCTAAATTACTGCATTTCTCCATTGCAGCAAAGGTTTGCTCTGTCAGGGTAGAGCATTCCCTCACTTGCGAGCAGTGCATAAAGTGGTAGGCTGTGCGAGGAGTGAGCTACTCAAGAGAACCCTGCCTTACCCAGCAGGACTGACAGCAAATAGGCTGCTCTTCAGCAAGGGCTTTTCTCAGAATAGCAGCAGTGTCTTCGAGCTCAGACACCACAGCACAGAATTCAGGGGTTGTCCAAGGTAGCCTGAAGGGCACAGCTCTTGCTGACTTACCTTTCTCTTTCTTTGTTTTTTGTGTGGGGTTTTTTTTTTTTAATTCTGTTCCCATTTCCCAGTTGAGCTCTTCCTTAAGTCTTCTGTGATGACACACAAGCTGCAGTCAGTTAAGATCCTTTCCCCGGGCTAATGTTGGCAGCCACGTGATTAGTGTTTGATCATCTGCCTGTGAGCTGCAAGGCTTCCCAGGCTGACTTCATGTTAGTTAGTGCTTGCTCTATGAAAGTGATGAGCAGAGGGCTCCTTTGGGAGGGCGCAGGCTCCTTCGCTGCACCTGCTGCTGCCCACTCCACGTGGCGGTCAGAGCCATGCCCGCACGCACTCGTCTCTGTGCATACCCTGCACAAGTCGGTGAAGTTGCGTGCCCTGAGTTGAAAGGAGGCTATCAATTGTGCAAGCAGCACTAGGGAAAGTGGGACATTTAACTCTCTGAGGGGACTGGGAGTGGTGGCCTCTGTGCACATCTCGGAGTTGGCTTGGAAGGCAAGTGATGTCTTAATGAGATCTGCAAGCACCCTTGTTTAAGTCACTGCCGCTGGGATAAAAGCATGGGCGGCTCTATGCAGATGAAGCACGGTCACTGCTTGAGGAGCATACAAGATGCTGATAAGAGAAGGCAATTTCTCAGAGACCACCGTGAAAGCTCCATAGCTCA